TAAACATTGAAATACGTATTGAGAAAAGGACAGAAGAAAACGCTATCTTTTCAATATACTTTTGAATGAGAGTGATAAGTAATAATTGCCTTATCTAATTTCTTATCATGGTATTTATGCCAAGTTTGTAATGTATACACATTATCATCATATGTATACACAGTAATCATGAAAAGATAGCGTTTTCTTCTGTCCTTTTCTCAATACGTATTTCATTGTTTAATACCGTAAAATAGTACATTAAAATTCAATTTTTTACAAACTTTAAAACGCTACAGAATATTTACTACTGAATATTAATAAGATATTTTTTTACTAAAATTTTTCTTAAATTCTACTCTACAAAATAGCTATCTTAGATTTTTTTTTTACATTTTATTTAAAATTTAAAAATAATTAATATTTTTAATAAAATGTAAAAAAATTAATTATTGAGATATAGCTATAGACCTAACGTATAACTATTATTTAAAAAAAAAATCAACTAAAAATATTAACTGGATCAAAAGTTATTTAAGTTGTCAGTGAGTGGTGGGCCACTCTGTATACATTCTTTCCTTAGTGGTAGGGTCATCAATAGGTTAATACTTCTTATCAAAGAATTAATATACGATAATTTTGCCGTAATCGCTTAAACAACCCAACGTAATTAAACGATAGCCACGTATATTGAGTTATACTATGCAAAAGTATCGTATGAAGTAGCACATTACTACTTTTTTGCTTAGTACTAGTTACAATTTTTTTCTTAAGTAATAATGGATCAATTTTTATGAAATACTTATAACCATTAAAGATATGGTTATAAGTATTTCTTAATAAATCAGCTTCTAAAGTAGATATAGCGAATTTGCCTAGCTTTAATAATGCGCAATTGAAGTCTCTTTATTTTGAGAACAAGACTAGTTTACCAAGCACCATTTTAATTCAATTTTCGCCGTGAAGACAAGCCCAGAGGTCAAATTTTTTTTTTCAAATTAAAGTATATTACATAAGCTTTAATTTAAGATATATATAAAAGTGTCAGACCTTCCGGAACATTTTCAAAAGTTATGTTGAAAAAGTTCTACTTTTTATATGTATTTTAGCTTCGATGCGAAGCTGAGAAGGTATTGGTTTTACTATGATGTGTTTTTTTTTTTTTTTTTTTGGTCTGTTACCACTTTTTCTCAGCTCTCACCGAACAGATTTCTTTCAACGATACGTCAAAAGATCACAAATCGCATCTAGTCGAAGACATTACCCTCAAAAATTGAAAAAAATGCCCTCGTTCCCCGTAAATGGGGGAAACCTCCAAAAAAATTACAAATTTAAAAATCGCTAATTTTCGAAATTTTTTCAATTTTTTTTACTAAAAACTGTCATAACTTTTTCAAAAATGAACATAACAATACAATTATTTTTTATATAGATGTGTAATATCATTACCTTTCGTTTGGTATATATTTTTCATAAATTTAACCCTTAACCTGCCCACAAGGGGGGATTTAAAATGACAACTTTTTCACAAAAAATTAACTTTTTCAACTTAACTTTTGAAAATGTTCCGGAAGGTCTGACACTTTTATATATATCTTAAATTAAAGCTTATGTAATATACTTTAATTTGAAAAAAAAAAATTTGACCTCTGGACTTGTCTTCGTGGTGAAAGTTGACATCAAAGTTAATAAAAAATTACGATTTTTGTAAAATAATTTTTTTTTATATTTTTAACTTAATAATGCTCTAACTTTTTCAAAAATGAACATATCAATATAATTTTTTTTTATATAGATGCTTGATGTCTTTACTTATCATTTGGTATATTTTTTTTGTAAATCTGACACTTAACCTGCCCACAGGGGGGGATTTAAAATGACAACTTTTTCACAAAAAATTAACTTTTTCAACTTAACTTTTGAAAATGTTCCGGAAGGTCTGTCACTTTTATATATATCTTAAATTAAAGCTAATGTAATGTACTTTAATTTGAAAAAATTTGACCTCTGGACTTGTCTTCATGGTGAAAACGGCTACCGAATGCTAAGACAAGTCCAGAGGTCAAATTTTTTTTTTTCAAATTTAAGTATATTATATTAGCTTTAATTTAAGATATATATAAAAGTGTCAGACCTTCCGGAACATTTTCAAAATTTAAGTTGAAAAAGTTAATTTTTTGTGAAAAAATTGTCATTTTAAATCCCCTCCTGTGGGCAGGTAAAGGGTTAAATGTATGAAAAATATATACCAAATGATAGGTAAAGACATCAAGCAACTATAAAAAAAAAGTTATATTGATATGTTCATTTTTGAAAAAGTTACGGTAGTTTTTAGTAAAAAAAATTGAAAAAATGTCGAAAATTAGCGATTTTTAAATTTGTAATTTTTTTGGAAGTTTCCCCCATTTACGGGGAACGAGGGAAATTTTTTCAATTTTGAAGGATAATGTCTTCGACAAGATATGATTTGTGATCTTTTGACGTATCGTTGAAAGAAATCGGTTTGGTGAGAGCTGAGAAAAAGTGGTAACAGACACAAAAAAAAAAACATCATAGTAAAACGAAGCTGAGAAGATTTTACTCAGCTTCGCATTGAAGCTAAAATAGAACCCACTCATATAAAAGATTCAACTTTTAAACTTTATCAAAATGAAGTTCTTGATGTTCACTACAAAATTTAAAAAAATTTCCTGATGATTGTTCCACTACGAAAAATTGGCCGTCAAAGTATAAAAAATTTTAATTTTAACCAAAAAATACGTTATTTTCAATGGATCAAATAATTTAATAAACAGGCATTTCATATTTTATACAAATTTTATAACATTGAAATTTTAAGATTACAAGTATATATAAATAGTGAAATTTATTAAATATACATCAAAGTGTTATTTATAGGATTCATGTTTATCACTGTCAGATATCATCTATACTTGTTCCAACTATGCTGCATCATTAATATTCTAATTTTTCTGAACTGTTAAAAATCCAACCATACCCAAGGTTTATAGGTAATATTATCTATTATTTATAAGCCTTTGAATAATGGTAGGTTTTTAACAGATCAGAAAAATTAGTATAGCTGAATTTTATTTTTATCGAAACGTTTTAGGATATAAGTTATTGAAGGGTACACTATTTAATGGATAATTACCGTATTTTCTCCTAATACGAAGGTTGAACCCACTCCAACCCAACTATATGGGAAAAAACGGTAATTGTACATTTCAGTAAATTTTCAGGAGAGTAAAAGTTAAGTTATAAATTTCTATCCTTTGAATGATAAAACATAAAATTCACTTAAAATATTATATAAAATGACAATATATCTCACATGAAGAAGTACTAAACATCTATTACATTCACGAGGCACCACGAATATGTAATTTCTTTTTTGTAACTTATTTCGTAGTATTATTTTAGTTTATTTACTTACGAAAAAAAATTTGCAGAGCCACAATAATTTTTGTGGTAATAACAGATTTTTTTTGTTCATCAACTTAGTGCCTAGGAATAAACTTTTACGTCGTTGCTATTTAAAATGCATAACTGATATAATACAATTTGTATGTTTTAAACATTAATTTAAAAAAAAGTGTTGTATTAGTTTATTAACTATGCAAAATATTTTGTACTAAAATTTTAAACTATAATTTTTATCAATGTATACAAGTTATAGAAAGTAAATAAATAGAGTTTAGTAACAAAACAAATAATGGTGGGTGAAAGGACTGCTGTTGAAAACGACATCGCTGAACTTTCTCCTTCGGTTATATTATATAATAATAGATAAAATTATTATAATAAAATAAAAGATAGGATGAAACTTGTTTCATAAAAACATTACATTTCTAATGTAGAAGTTATAACACATGAAAGGTATACAGACTTAAAAAAATCCTTATAAACTAAAATTTGACATAAAATTAGATTTATTGTTTTCCAACTTGGTCTACTTGAGTCTGCAAGTTGCTGACAACTTCTGGAGGTACGTGATCACCTAGAATTTCGAACAAATTAATGGTTTGCGATCCTGGAATAGACTCATAAGCTGCTAACTCTACACCTTCTTGAACTTTTTGTATTTGAGCATTCTGAGGTATCAAATGAGTATTTTGAGCTTGCCTAATTGCTTCGTTTGTAAAAATAGCCCCATCTTTGGATCCTTGTGGCATAGATAAACAAACAACCACACAAGTACTCAACACCAAAGTACATGTGATAGATTTCATGATTCTAAATTGAAAAATGAATTTTAATTGACACATTAAAAAATTATTATTATTTATTTATTGAATATCTGTATGTTTTTATTTGTGTAAAAAATACATTCGGTAAATTCATAGAACTTATTCGAAGGAAACATAAGAAGTGTTATACAACCCTACTAGGAAATATTTCATTATTGTGAGAAAATGTATTCTATAAAATGTATCTTGAAAAAAGCCACATATTTTTTTACTAAATTATTCAGATGTTAAACCATTTAGACGGAATAGACTAAGTTCAGGAATTATATTTATAATTTAGATCCAGTTTCAAAATTAGGAATTATAACATATATCCTTAAGTTGAATATCTTACTGTATTTTAAATTAAAATGAAACGTATTTTTAGAAAATTTTGTCTAACTTTTATGTTTATTATTATCTTTAAATTTTAATCTAAATACAAAACTAATATTTTAAAATATAATAAATAATATTATTAATAAAATATTATAAAAATAATATTTTATATATATAGATATATATTTTAATATATATCTACTACATTAATTTTTTTAAATTTCGTTAATTAAAATAATTTCAATTGTTATATTTAATCTATTTATTTATTATATTTATTGAAATAAATGTTGATTTGAGCAAAATATTACAATTACTACACAAAATCAATTGAAATAATATGATTTTTATTCTGAATAATAATAATTTTTTTTAACAAGGTTCAATATATTTTTTTAATAATAGATTTTTTGTTTCATATATAAAATAAATAAAAATGATTAATTTAGCATCTTACCCGTGTTCGATTGTAACTTCTTCTTGGACAACACGTTGAACCTTAAAATCATAATAAAAAATACTCGGTCCATTTTATAACGTTCACTAGGCAGCTCAATCATGTAAAATAATTTAGTGGGAGGATGAAACTCGTAAATTGAGCTACTTTCTCCGAGATAATTTATTAAGGCTTTCATTAAACTTAATGGGCACGTATTCACCAATAGAAATCAATTTTGTCCAGTTATGATTACAAAAGTAGATTTAAATACAACGTTAGGGAACTTAATAAATCTTATCAATACTTTTCATTAGTCTTATTATGTATTTTGCGCAATAATCCATTCATTTAAAACAATTTTAAATTTAAAAATAGTTTTTTTTTATTATAATTCGAAAATTTTGAAGGAAAATATTGAAGTCAACACTTTTATAATATCTATAAATTTACTCAAAATTGAATAAAACACTCATTGGTGTAAAATTAATAATTATTATTATTATTTTGTATGATTACTATGTAAAATAAAAAGGTTCTATCAAAACTGCATTACACAAAATGACAATTTATCATCAGCAAATAGTTATATAAATTAGTTAGCCTGGCTAAATTATTTTTGAAAAAAACAATAGTAAATTATAACTTTAGTGAATTGCTATTCCAACTCATTTTTCATATTTCAACTATAGTTGAAATTACGATTATATTTAGTTGTAATTAGATCGTTTAAAATAATATTGTACTAAAATATTAAACTAAAATATTTAGTTGAAATTGAAGAGTTTGCTACTAAAATCTTGGAGTAACCTTTTAGTAACTCGAAATGTGCTAAAGCTACTTCAGCTTTAGCACATTTCTAATTATACGTCTTTTGTTGCAAAATAAGAAAAAGGATTCTTATATGCGAAAAAAACATTATGCATTTGTGCTCAATTTAATTTATAAAATTGCACTAAAAGACCAAAGCATCTTATAGTTCTGTTAAAATTAAATTGGTTAAATGACTTAAATTAAATATTACAATAATCAACCGTTTTAGCTTCGATGCGAAGCTGAGAAGGTATTGATTTTACTAAGATGTGTTTTTTCCCTATATACAAGGGGGGTTTAAATCTAAAAAATGCATGTAGAAAGTAGAACTTTTTCAATTTAACTTTTAAAAGTGTTCCGGAAAATCTGACACTTTTATATATATCTTAAATTAAAGATAATGTAATATACTTTATTATGGTAAAAAAAAATTTGGGACTTTATTTTATCTTCATGGTGAAAACAGACATCAAAGTTAATAAAAAAATACGATTTTTGTAAAAAAATTCTTTTTTATATTTTTAACTTTATAATGCTATAACTTTTTGAAAGATGTATGGATCAATATAATTATTTTTTTTATAGATGCATGATGTCTTTACCTATCATTTGGTATATTTTTTTTTCATATCTGACCCTTTACCTCCCTTCAGGGGGTATTCAAAATGACAACTTTTTCACAATAAAATTTACTTTTTCAACTTAAATTTTGAAAGTGTTCCAGAAAGTCTGACACTTTTATATATACCTTAAATTATAGCTATTGTAATTTACTTTATTATACGAAAAAAAAATTTCGGACTTTATTTTATCTTCACGGTGAGAATGGCTACCAAATGCTAATATTGTGTGAAAATTCTCGATTTTATTTTTTACATTTTTAACTTTATAATGCTATAACTTATTCAAAAGTGTATGGATCAACATTATTTTTTTATGAGAAATAATATTTTTTAATAATCCCTTTTTCATTCAACATACTTTATCTTAATTAGGATATTAATAATGAACTAGCAGATCATGTAGCTTTTGAAATATTCCACCAATTTTTTTAAATTAAACACTATCTAAAGATTTGCATCGAAGCGTTTTTTTTTATAGTGATTTTAATCACTGTCAGATATCATTATACTTGATCCATCTATGCCACGTCACCACTGTGCCGCGACCCCCCTGTGCTGGGTTTTTTAAATTCTAAATTTAATCTAATCGGATATCACAATCATTGGAACCTTTATAATAAATCAGAAAATTTACGTTACTATATTAATAAATTAATACTAATAGAAGTATTAGTAGTAATTAGTAATTAAGATAATACAACTAAAATTTGTAAATAAATTTTAATGCATAAAAACATAAACAACTGAATAATTGGATTTCTTATATATATATATAATTAAATAAATTATTTTAAAGTATAATAGTTGGAAAATAATATTTCCCGTATCCCTTGTTTTGACACCATTGACAATGATTAACTGAGTTAATTTGAATGTACTGAGGGAATTTTTTTTCAACATATTATATTAAAATATTGATAGATAGATTTATAATATAACATTAATTATTAATGCACTCTTCGAATACAAGTTATATTTATAATCATGTACATGATTGTTCTGATGGTACTTAATATAATAGAATTAATATATTAATATTATATAATATATTAATTAATTTTATTATTGTATTTATATGTTATAATATATTATAATATATAATTAGTTAAAGTGACTTAACTTGAGATAAGTAGCGCTCCTAGTGATTAAAAGTAAGTAATGTATTCTTGTCTATTATACTCTATATACAATAACAAATGTTTAGTGATTATATCTGATAAATTTCCCTTCGTTGTCTACACTGATATTTACAACGGTTATTTTTTAAAAATTGAATTTGGTTATCTTTTCATTATTGTTGATACCTGTTTTAAAAAATTTAGTAATAGTATTATTCAAGTTGCCATACAGTGTAAATCGTAAGTACCTTATAAAATAAATTTTACTCATATGATTAGTTTATGTTATATATTACCTATACTTATATTTAAAATAATTATAACATATTTCTTGAGATTATAATTATTGATTTTAGTTTTGTGATTTATGGAATTCAATTATTATTTTTTTGTCCATATATTCCTATTTAATTAATTTGATGTTTATTTATTGCTGGAACAGAAACTAAATTTAATTTCTGTTAGTTTTATTTTATTAAAATAATATGTATTTCTTAGTGTTTAATCGAAGCTATTATTTAATGATTTTGAACTATAATTTCTTTGTATTAGGAAACAAAAGCTTATTTTTGAATAATACAACATAAACAAAAGATTAATTAATAGTAAAGTAAATTTCAAATTTTATATTATAATATTTTTAATGTGAATATCTAGTTTGCCATATATATATATATATATAGTTAATTACATTTTATTAATTTGCATAATCCTTTGTAACCAATAAAGAAGTTAACTTTGTTTTTTTTTAATGGCAACATACGTATGTATAGCTTATAAAATAGAAAATAACTTTTAGATTGATACTTTTGAAGTTATTAACATTTTATAAGTGAGCAGAAAGAGAAGTTAGACTGAAAAATTTCTAATCCAACCCAACCTACGCCTCTTCACAGTTGATATTTTATAATCGTCACAACTTCTGATGTATTAGCAAAACTTTTTATTGAACCGTGATTTTTTAATTAGATCATTTCCTTTTTTATAAATTAGTAAAATTTGTGATGTTACTTAAAAATATAAAGTCGACACTCTTATAGGTTATAAGGGATGAAAAAAGTAATCAATAGCTGATAAATTAAAAAATATATGTGCTAAAAACAAAACCCAACATTTTTTTTCAAAATTGTATATATTTTTTGAATAATTGAGTAGTTTATAACAAAGAAAACAACCGTATATAGGGTAAAAATATATATTTCAAATATGTTTTACTTACCTTTTAGACAAATGTTGAAATACCTGTGATATTAATTGGAACCTATACAAATCAGATTTAAACTTCCTAAATAAAACTTATTTATCAATAAAAATTTTAATCCATTAAAATAAAAAATTATATTTTATTCATAAGGTGGACTTCTGAAACTACTGAGGTCAATCATTATAATATAATTCATCAATTAACCTAACAATATTTTTAAAACTAATTTTTTATACTTATGTAGATTTTCAATTAATTATTTATAATTTTAATTAAATTGTTTGCATAAAACTTATATTTCCGTACACCTATTTTTGTGTAATCGCTCATAATTTTGATACCATAAAACACATTAATGCAATATTCATTTTTATCATTATAGATTTTTATATTAATATACCAAATTCATCAGAATTTACAAAATATTACACAACTTTTTTTTTAGTAATTTTGGTTTAAAAAGATGTTTTTTTATATAAAACAAAAACTAATAAAAAAATCTATGAGGTATGAGCTTTATTTATCATAATAGATGACATCAGTTAGTTAACCTCTAAAAGTAGTTGGTAACAAAATAAATAATAAATATTTCAAAACAAATATAATAAATTTTTCTTTGGTAACTTAATTTATAATAACTAGTAGTAATTAATCGATCTATTTGTGTTTATCAATCATTTAATTATGAGCACTTTAATTTTTCTTCTATTATCCAGTATGAAAATGAAGACTCAAATCTTTGCTTCGTTAAGATTAGTTATTAGCATAATAACTAGGAATGGATTTATATGCACGTATAAATTTTATCAAGTTAGTTCGAATATACTATCAGCAAGTACAAATTTTTATTATTGACTTTAAATCTTAATAATGTTCTGTAACTGTAGGTATATATTTGGGTGGGGATTAGAGAGGTTTATTTTTCTTATAATGAAAAATATGTCTATACTACTATATATTCTTTCTACTAATTTATAAACTTGGGTCCCTCGAACAAAATTTATAAATTTATATAAATCCATTTTTTTTAACAAAAAATTATTAATAAAATTTAATGTTTTGATATTAAATATGTGTGCATATTTATGGCTTAATGATTATAATATGAATATATAAAATTTACATTAATTACTGATAGCAAATAAGATTAATCTTTTCCCAATGTGTAACAGTAGAAAANTTAGAAATCAAAATTAAATATTAGATTAAATATTTACCACATTTGTATGTTGGGCAACATTTATTGGGAAATTGAAGAATATATATATATATATATATATATATATTGCATGTTTTATTATTTTATTTTAATGATCTTGAATAAAATAATCAATTTTCACTACCTTATAATTAAAACTCTCCTTAAAGCACTTGAAGTGCATTCTTAACTTCTGCTCTAATTTTTAAGCTTGAACTTTACAATTCATTTTTACTATCAGATCAGTTCAGTTTGATCAAGCAAATCTTAAATGATGTTATTATTTAATTAAAAACTTATGAAGATTAGTGAATTCTAAAAATACAGGACAAATTCCTCTTTATAATTAGAAAAATTCACTTTATATAAAGTCCAAAATATAAATTATACATTATTCATAATTGTTTTATTGTGTAGAATTAGAAGGTTTGGCAGAAGAAATATTTCTAAGCGGTTTTAAATTATTGTTATTAGGTTTACTAATACTTGTCAGATTTCCACTTGAGAAGTAATTTTGTACTTCTTTATTTGCTTTGTATATAATGTCTAATGTTGGAAGTGTTATCATTGTGGTTGTTGTGTAGATAACATCAGGAATATTAGTATAAGTTTTTTTCGTTATAGTTAGAGATGGTCCATTTTGAATAGTTTCATATTCTTCAGGGTATTCTTCTGGATAAGGCATTGATTGATCGATATACCGAAATTTAGTTTGGTCAGTAACAGCTTTAGCTTTTATAATAAAAGGAACTGTTTCTAATCGATTTGTTAGATTTTCATTAATATTGTTATCATTTGACTTTTTTTTTTTACTTTTTCCACTTTCATTCAAATCTGTTTCTTTTGATTTAATATCATGAGTTACACTATAGTCCTGTAAAATATCTAAATTCAGCATATTGTTATTAGTAATTATGTCTAAATTTGATTCATTGGTCATAATATCATTGTCAATTTCAGTAGACAAATCATTTTTTTGGTAATCTAAAATATCCATGTTGTTAGTATTATTTTCAATAATACTTGAAGATACAGTTTCTGTACTTGTTTGTGAAAATAATGATATTATATTATCTGTTGTATTTTCAAATTGTGTTTTGTTTTCAAAATCATCTGAAAAAGTTTCTATTCCCATTTTATCTATTTGGTAGCCATAATTTGTCTCAAACATATCAGTTGTATTTTCTAGATCTGTGAAAATTGTTTCTGTATTATTTTCATCATCTTTTTTTTGTAATTTTTTTAATGTTAACTTGAGTGGATTATTGGATAATGATTTTCTAGATAATAATGAGGGTGTTGTCATTTCTCTTGAAATACTGTCATCTGTATTTGAAACTTCATCTAATTTTGGTATATCTGTAAATAGTTCAATTTTAGAAGGAGTTAAAGTTTTTTTTAGTTCTTTTGGATTAAATATGTCTACTTCAGTACTTATATATGTTGTTGAAGTTGGAGGCTTCACTTTACTAAATGTAAAAATATCATCAACATCTACCACACTTTCTGTACCATTTAAGTGTGTAATTATTATAGAGTTATCTATTTCTGTAGTTGTTTCAATGTTGTCATCTATATCGGTATAAGTATTGGGTTCCGTATAATACAATAAAATATCGGATTCATCATTATTATCAATGAAAACATTATTATTTTTTGATAACTCTTTGTTAAGATTATTATTTTTTAAATAAAAAAATAAAGTTGTTGATTTTTCAACAACATTGTTTTTATTGACAGTAATAGTGCTTGTATTAACATTATCATACGTCATAATTTCAGTAGAATTATTTTCAACTGTACTTATTTGTGTAGTTACATTCAACAAATTTAAATCAACTAATGAATCTGTAATTAAAGCAGGCGTATCCAATTGTTGACTCTTTATTGTATCTCTTTTCCAAATACTTTCTGTATTACGTTCAGTAGTAGTAAATGATTTCAAAATGGTTTTCAAAAGTGATCTCCCAAAACTATTGTTTTTTATATTTTCATAATCTGTAATTAAATAAATAAGATATATTAAATAATATTATTAGTAAAATTTACTCGAACCTGTATAATTTGATGAGCAGTTATCATATTTTGGACAACAGTCTCCTGGTAATGTATACCCTTTACAGTCTTTTCGAGTATAGCATATTATTGAAGTACATACTATTTCTCCGCCATTACAAAAGCAAACTTTACAGGCAGAATCATCATAAAAATTGACTTTTTCTCCATTGTTGTACAATTTTCCTTTATGTTCACAATCTACTTAAAAATGTTTTAAATTAGAAATCAAAATTAAATATTAGATTAAATATTTACCACATTTGTATGTTGGGCAACATTTATTGGGAAATTGAAGAGTAATACAACCTATGTTAGAAGGACATTTCATCATGGAACATATCACATTTGGAGGGTGACATGTACATTCTTCACAAGGTCCTGCTACTCCAATTATACGTTCACCAAATTTGTAAACAGAACCATTAACAAGACAAATGAATTTGTCTATATTCTTACTTGTATTTCCTTTTGATAATGAGAGATGACTATTTGTAATGTTAGTATTATCATTTAAACGTGCAATGCTTAATGGTACTGAAAAAAAATTATTATTAACTGTTTTTTTTTTTTTGAAAATAGTTAAATGATAAAAATAATATTTTTAATATAATACTATTAATTTGTATGTATTAGCTAAAAATATAATTTATTGCAAATACCTAATAATACTTGTTATCTAAAATTTTAACATAAATTAAATTTTTTTTATTTATATGCCAATTAGGTATAAAAAAAACCGCACAATTTAAAGTTATTAGAAATCAGAATTTAAGAAATATTCATATTCTCAAAAAGTTTTGTTAAAATTTTTATGTGTTAAGTGGTAGCTTGATAACATAATAAATAAATAACTTTCTTACTGTTTAACCCCATTATATAGTAATATTTCTTTGTTTTGCAAGAATTCACCTCTTACATAGTTCCAGTGTATTTATGATTTTTATATAGATAAATTTTGAAGGTCAGAATTTTATAATTTTGTGTTTCTATTATAAAAGTTTTATTACATTTTTCATGTTAAAAAATATTTACTTTGCACTTTAATGTAAATATAAAAAGATTAAATATCAATTTTTTTTATGCTTACAACCCCATTTATTTTATTAACAAATAAACATACTGGCATCTTATTAATGTATTCAAAAAAAAGGTCTTTGTTTAGACAATTGAAGTTTTACTGGATTTTTCAATTTATATTTGATATTTTAAAAGTAAAGCATATGTTAAAGAGGAAAGATGTCGACTGAATGTATCCTTATGTTAAAATTTTTATTGAATTTCTGATATTCTTGTAAATATTAGGTGTTTAAAATTATTTTCTCAATTTATTAGTTAACTTTTAACTACCTGCTTCCACTGTTGAAATATTCCAAACTAATAAAGTAATTAAATTCATTTTCCATACTAAATTAATTATAATGGATATCATTTTCTTCCTAAAAAATTGAAAAAAAAATTGAATCATGAACTAATAAAATTTTATTTTACAAGTATTTATATCTACTTTTATTGATAGAATGACACATTAACACTATTTTAGAAAAAAAAAATTAAGTATTCTAGATTCATCTATATAAATTTAAATTTTTGATTATTTTTATAATTTATAGATAACTACATCTTTGGTGTTCAAAAAAAGGTCCCAACAAGAAAAATTCAAATAACTTGTTTTTATATTGATACAATTTTATCAATTTTTAAATCTCTGAAAAATAGAATTTCAATTATCTCGGTTGTAAATTTTTTTTTTTTTTTTAGCGTATGACTCTTTACATTAACACCTCAGATATTTATTTGTAATTTGTCGTGATTATTTAACAATTAAATTCTGAAAAATATCTTTTTTAATTAAAAATATATAAAATTAACCTAACACTACAATTAGTACTCGAAAAAAATCAGGGGATCTACATATTTCAGATACAAAGTTATTATAATCAGTATTATTATTTTTTTAAAAATATGTTTATTTTTAGGTATAAATAACCTTAAATTAAAATAAGAAGATTTATTAATCATTAATAATTACCAATTCAAGTATCATTGTGTCAAATTGATTTTATTAGTCTCTACAATATTAGTTTATTTATCTTAGAAGACGAATCAACCCTTATTTTAAAATTCATTCCTTCAAACGTTTTTTTTTTTTTTATTAAATGCTGCTTTTATACTATATAACAATTCACAATGAAATTGATAAAAATTAAGAAGATAAATACTGCAATTTTTTTTACTGAATTTTATATTGAAGTGTAAGTTATTTTAATCACTATTATCAGGTTTCACTTAATGCTACATTTTTTTTTTTAACTTTAAATTCTTTTAACATTGATGAATGTCTTATATAGACCTTGTTTTTTTTTCATTCAGTTTCAGAATTTCATCACTAAACAATATAAAACAAAATGTATGATAATTTAAAAATTAATAATTATTAATGGTATTTAAAAATGATATTATATTCAAGAAATTTATATATTTCACTTGTTACCAAAAAATAAAACATCTAGCCTTTCATATATTAAATAACATACAAATGATCTTGTTATCATAAACCCTTGAACTATTTGAAAATTTAAGATAATATTGTAAAATTTCTTTTAGTTGCATGCTGTTCTCAATTTATCAATAATGAAGCATTTTAATAGAATATATATAAAAAAAACCAAAAAATATACTCAATATTATTTTTGATTTCTGATTTCTGATTAATTTAATGTTTCATGATAACAAAATCGCCTAGAATATTATAAGAATCATAGACAAATAATCAGAATTAAAGTTTTAATAATTTTTGTACCATTAATTAAAATAAACTTTATGGTAATTTTACTTATCTCACTTTTACTGAACAGTTTTAATTTATATAACTTAACTAAAAAACCTTAACAAAAGATAATTTTGATTATTTATTCAACAGTTACATATTTAAATAAAATAAATGAAAATTTAAATTTTATAATTCCAATATAATATTATTTTATTAACTTATTCCTAAACAAAATCTTAATCATTAATGATTTGACAAGTAGGTAATGCAGTTTTGAGAAGATCTATAACTTTCCTGTCAGTAAAAAATTGTAAGTTTTTCAGTTCCAAATATTTCAAACGACTGTAATTATTAATTATTTCATTTATATTCATGTATAATGTAATTTTTTCATCTTACTAAAGTTGTTCCAATGACAGAATTCCACTATCTGTTACATTAACACATCCAATAATTTTCAAATATTCCAAACAATCTTTCAATATAATTAATTTTTTAATTGCTTCATTTTCAACTGAATTACACCCAATAAATGATACTGTAGAAATATCTTTACAGTTTTCTACAAAAGTTAAGTTATTTTGTGTAATATTGGTTGTGTAGATTTTTCTTCAAATAATACTTACTAAAGTAATCAAAACCTAAATGTGAAATAGATGCTTCCTTTCCAGCATAAACTTCATCAATTTTGAGTTGTGTTGTGGGACCACTTGAAAGTTTAACCAAGCAATCATAATGTTTAATAAAGTTTTTGGAATCTTTCCATCGAACTTGTGCACCGTTTTTCATTAACCATTCAGCACACGCCATGTTTGATCCCATCTCTTTTATGCGATCTGCGTCCACTCTTTTTTTAATAATACAATTAAAATGATTTTCTTTGTATGTAATTGAAATTTAAAAGTACTTGCCTATTAAAACTATCATCGACCCATTGCCACATATTTCGATTATGAAATGGTAATACTCTTTTTAATAATTCTCTTCTTGCACTTTTAAACATTTTACGCTTTAATTCTTATTCTACTGTTTATACATCAGCTAATTTTTCCTTTGTAGATGTTTTATTCATTCAACTAATATTAGAATTACTGTTTTTATAAATTTTTGTTTAATCGATATGACGTTATCACTGTCGTTTTTATCACAAATACTCTTTTTCTTATCATTGGGTAATCAATTTTTAATCAAAATTCGTATAAAGCAAGGTGGATTTATCCAACTTAGTATTAAGGTCTTGTTATCTCAAATTATTTAACAATTGTATCTTTCCTCAAAAACTATCTTCGATCTTTATATATTAATAAAACCAGTATTTGATTATTTTTACTATTGATTAATAAAATTAAGTAAATATTATATTATTATCTGTTTACAAAAGTTAGGTATATGAAGGAAAGATTTTTTATGTTAATAATAACTTCAGGGTTAATAGCGTAAATGCATCGCCTGCAATGATAAAATTTTTTTTTAATTCTTTACAAAAGAACTTAGTCGTATTATTAGTGGATTCTTATGAAAAAATTTTACTTAAACTATTCTTAAGCATGTTATTTAGATTTCTTAAATATAACTTGATTATATGAATTAATAAAAATGGCTCCTACATTTATTCTTGACATCCTTCCGATTACTAATTGTTTTATAAATCTAGTTCGTTATATGGTTAATGAAGAAATATTTAAAGTATACTGAATACCTCAAAAAAAAATATAATATAAAATTTTATTTCACTGATACATCTATTCATTTATGTGTACAGTTATGGTGTATAAAAAAGTATTTTTTTTAGGTAAACTAGGTTGAGACTAATTTTTTCAAAGAGGTTCAAAATCATTTCATCTCACTCTAAAATTTATAACCATATATAACTAGTAAGATTCATCCTAAGTTCCATCTTAAATTTTAAATATTAATGAAAACAACAATATTAAAAAAACATGTTCAAAAAAGAATAAAATATTTTGGTCAAAACCCTGATTTGTTTGAAATAGACGATTTTTAAAGCCTGATTTTTATTAATTTTTAATAAGTATTTTTATATATTTATTTAATTCTTTTTTATTGTAAGAATGACTTGTTAATAATTTTAAATCTATTTTTGACAATGAAACGAAATATCTCATCTAAAAAGAGCCACTATTCTGTGTCATTATCTTGTGCTCGTATAAAAAGGTCATTCGTCTACGCTATTATCTTATTAGTAACGGTGTGCAGCGTTTTTCCATGTAGCTTGATTTTACGCTATTTTCGGATGTCTGTCATTTTTTTGCAGTGAGTTTTTATTACGTACTACCAATGAAAAAAAATTCAACATTTAAGCCGCGTCTGAAATCGTTTATATTTTATATTGCTTCATTTCAACATTTTACTAGTATGGTTTTAACTAAATGTTGTGATCTAGTTTTATAACTTTAAACATTATAAATGTGTTCCATATTTAGGTATTCCAAACCAATAGTCTGTGGTCCACGAGAAAACGTAACTCAGATCTCAATATGGAATGTTCCTATTTTATCAATTACCTTCTTAGTTCCGTTATTCTTAGTTGAATAGAATTGTAAGAATATCTACCAATTTTTTAATTGTCTTATTATTATAGAAACCATAATAATACATATTGTAATAAGATACATTGTATGTGGTGTCAAATAAACAATTATATTATAAATGCTTTATATAATATTAATAGTGCCCCAATGGCCACAATGATAATATTCTTAATACTAAGCCCATTTACTTAGTGCCCTTAACAGTCCTAAATACCTTTTGCTCATCGCTGAGTAATTTTAATCTTGAGAAATAACATAATTTAATTCCTTTTATTTTTAGAAAAAATAATGTATATTTTTGTTCTAGTTAGATATTACTAGAAAAATATCTTAGAATTCAAGTAACTTAGTTATTTATCATGTTCAATTTGACTTTTTATTTATTTGTCCAATATAAACTTAAATGCTAGTATTCATTAGAAAAAAATGAAAACTACTGTAGGCAATTTGAGTTATCTGAGGTTGGGTTAAATAAAGCCTACACGACTTTATTTAATCATTAAAATCCTAAAAAAATGTAGTAGATTAAACTTAAAACAAACCTTCGAAATTGTTCAATATTAAGGCACTTTTTTTAATTTTCCGAATATATACATTCAAAAAACTTTAATGTCAAATTTATATATAGATTTATTGAAAAAACTGTCAATTGATCGTTTTATTGAGTAGTTTAGTAGAAAATTTTTTGATAGTTGAATCACTTGAAATTTTTGTAACAAATATTAGTAAATAAATTTATCATAATAATTGATTGTTACGGTTTTCAATAAAATTTAGGTAATAAGGCTTTTAATAATAAATATATTGTAAAAATAGTTTGTTAGAACTATCAATTTTGATAGACACAATCATTAAATTCTGTTGGAAAGACAGCGAGAATTCGGATATCCATTACAAAACGTTAAATTATTACGAATCATTAGTTTTGTATAGTAATGGCAACAAAAATTAGGTAAGCTATCTTTATTTGAACCGACTTGTGTAGTAGTTTTTACCTAACAATTAAGTAAAAATAACTATTACTGTAAACATTCAGAAAACCTCGTACACAAAAAAACTGAAAAAAAGACCAGTTTAGAAATGGGCACATATCCTGACATTAAGATTCGAACCATCGACTCTAATACCTGAAATAATTGAGTTGGATGTTATACCATTGTAGTAATTTATGGATTTTACTAAATTTTGTAATACTATCAGATAACGTTATCAGTATACACTAACATTTTTACGTTTGTTATTTGATTATTTTTCTAAAGATTTTAAAAAATATATGATATTTTCAGAAATACTGTTACATTTATAAAAATATTTTAATTACATCTCAAATACATGTTATTTATAAGTATTCTTAATATTTAATACTTCATTAGAATTTAAATTATGCTAAAATTCATAGTCCTAGTCGTCGTACATAGAAAAAAACATTCTCTTAGTAAAGGATGAGGGTTGTATTTAATTTTTTTTTTTTTGCCCAAAAATATTTTGATTTTTGCATATAGTTATATTATATTATAAAATTTCTATTATAATTCTAATTATTAAGGAACTGTTTGTTTTTGTACGCTAATATAGAATTTTTATCAGATTGTATTCAGTACAATGCTTATTGCTATAAATAATACTATTATCTCTACAAAAGCCATTTGACAAGAATACGTTTGTAATCTTAGCATAAACGTTTAATTATAACTACCGAATATTTATTTACTTCAACAATTTTATAGTTATGACAACTAATCGAATTGTAACGTAATAGTTTTATTAAAATATCCGTAATAATTTTTTTCAGCGTACACTACTTAATTAATCTTAAAACTTACAAGGGCAATATTTCAATGATTTAACTTCCATTTCCTCATTTTTTCTTATTATTGCTGTAATTACTAAATACATTTTATAAAAAAAATTTTAAATCTTGAATGTAAATGGAATTTGATGTGTCTGTAAATAATTTATATGAAGGACAACAGAAATCGAGGATGTAGTATTTTTATTTATTAATTATTTTTATTAATATATATAAATATATATATATATATACGTCCATATTTAATCTATAATATAATGAACCGTTTAATTTTATTATAAAAATTGCAAAAAAAAAATCTAGTAGCATTTATAACCTATTTGTTATTACACTAATTTTCTGAATCCATAATTATTATAATTTTTAAAAATTGATATTATATTTTTATTAAAATTTACACATAAATACTGCTAATAATTATTGTTCGAGAAGTATTCTTAATTATTATACCTTAATTTTAAGTGATTTGACGATATTTTCATATAAAAAATGGTTACTTCAGATTTTATACTCACATTTAAAAGTTTAGCTTCTACGCCAACACTTATGTTCTATTTTCGGACTTTGAAGTAATATCGATATCTTTAACTTCAGCACTTGAAAGGTTTAAAGATCTAGAGGCCCCCGAATCTTTTGTAACAATGAAAAACGTCTGAATTCAAATCGACACTAGGCACTAAATAAATTGCGCATGCGCAATTGTTCGTTTATTGACATTATTCAAATAATATTAAAAAATGCAGTACAAATTATTTTATTTATTAGAATCATAATTTTCTTATTTCGTTGGCAAAATATATTTATGTGTGTATGTATTTTATTAATCATTTAAATACTATTTTATATACTTAATAGCTTATTTTATTATATAATTTTAATCTCTACGAGTAAAATTTTGTTGATTTTTATTAACACGTGAAAAAAGTTAAAAAGAACTTGGTGGATAGATTAATTATATATTATCATCAATAGAATCGGTAACTATTATAAATGTTGTTAAAAAATATATTTATAAAAAAAAATCTTTTTAAAGCATAAGTTTACCAATTTAAATTTTGAAATTTTTTCTGTTTTAATAACATAGTGTTTAAAATGTAAATACCCTACAAATGATTTTATTTACTACGACAATTAAAAATGAATTGTTATCAAAATTGAATTTTTGTTAAAAAATACATTTATAATTCTAGTAATTTTTTGTTCGTTATAACGAACTTAATTATGATCAGTGATGTAATAAGAAATTTTAATATTAGAATGGTAAAATTTCAAACAACTTTGACAACACTTTTTTTTTCTCAAAAATGACTAAAATTTAATAAAGGTGCACCAAAAAAATTGTAATTCAGTCAAATTAAAAAAATATATATACTCTTTTGAGTACAGGTTACAATTTTGTACAACTTCTTAGCGCTCCACTGATTATAATAAATAATAATTAATGCAATTATTTGGCAGTTGATAAAGTTCTAAATATTTACCTATGCTCTATTTGTATATGAACTATCATGTTTTTCATAAAAGCTCTGGGGTTTTTGTACTTAACAAATGTGAAGAAAATAATTTTGTTTATTCTTTATTATCTGTATTAATGAATAAAAATGTAATAAAACTAATACAATAATTATTAACATATCGAAAACATGTACCTGCTTTTGAAATAGTGTTAAGAATCTACAGGCCATTTTTCTTAGAAGCAATATTTACACATATTCCTATTTTCAAGAATTATCGATTCATATTGTACTAGTACGTACCCGGTACTAAATGTGCAAGACATGTATTATAGCAGAAAATCGCATGTCATTTTGATAAGATTGTTTTTTATTGCGACTATAAAATATTAATATTACATATTAAAATTTTACATTTAAAATATAATGATTTTAATTTAAACTACATGAAAATTAATTCTTTATTCCTTTTAATAACTCATAAACAAATTTTACTTTATAAATTATTATTATTCAATAATTTAATCGTTATCATAATCCTAATCCATGGTAACTGAAAAAGACTTAGCACACCCCCACCTTTAATTATATCGCAACCCCTAAAAATGATAGAAATTATATACAAAAATATATTTATTTGGGTTGAATTTTAAACATTTAAATATAATATAATTTAAATTAATATTGCAACTGTGATGTTATTATTGTAGTATATGTATTGGAAAAGTCCTCTATAAAATAAAATGTTGTCATTTAAAATGGTTATTATTTTTACTTTCATTAGGTCATTATTAGAATCTAATCTAAGAATCCAAAAACGTGATAAATTAATCATAATAAAAATTATATACTTAGCTGGAGAAGCTTTTATCAACTTATTCGTAGTTAGGGTCCGAGACTTCATACATTTTTTTAACTTGTTTTATACATCCTACATCAACAATTAAATAGATGTTCGTGTTTGTTTTCTTAATCCTGATCGAAGTATATTAAATAGAAGAATTAAGTTATAGCTAGCGTGCGAATGGTTACTCTACCAAAACAAAACATGTTACCATCATACTGTATATACTAATGTTTTATATCTGTAAGGCAATAAGTTAAAGAGTTTTTGAGATGATTTATAATTTATATATATATATATTTATTATTTGTACTTCAAAAATGTAGATTTCCAATTAAAAATATCATTTAAATATTAAAATTGTGATTCACTATAGAATTTAACCATTTTAAGATATATCCCATAATTCTTTATAAATATGCCATTGCATTTGATATTAAAATATGAACTTGTCTTATTACTTCCCATTAATAAAACTTTATAAGAATATTCTAAATTTGATATTATTCTTATAGTATTAAACTATTAAATTTTATAGTTCTATATTTCTTAAAATTATTTGAAACTATCGAATATCAATATATTTATTAAGGTAACTATTTTGGTTTGTATAAATTGTTTTAGATTTTTTTAAAAAGATGCATTTCAATAAGACTCATGAAGACGTGTTTATTATTTATTAATAAAGAGTTATACATAATATATTTTTTTAAAACTCCTTCAAAAATTGGATCTTCACCACGTAAATATTTCCATTGTAGAAGGATCTACCCCCTTTTAAAAACAACCTTAAAAACTTGTTTAAACTCTAACTTTTGTAAGTATTTTTTTATTTGTATATTATTGTTATTAGTTAGGCATTTAATAAAAACAATAAATTACGGGAGCAATTAAAAAAAATTATCTTTTTAGTATTTATTAAATATAATCATCATCGAACCAATTTTATTTAACTCGTATTAAGATAACAACTTCTACCTCTGTTATTTTTAACATTTTGATAAACGAATACCTTTCAATATGATATTTCCCAACAAATAAATTAAACCTTACAGTAAAAATAATTTTAGTTTAATGACAAATGATACAGTTATCATATTAGATTATTTATTTTTTTTTGGTTCTAATATTTAAATTATTTCTTAATTATTCTTTATAAAATCATAAGTACATTGTGACAATTAATTTTAATGTATGCGTAAAACGTAAAAAATTAATTTACAGGACATCATTTTTTCTATCAAATCAAAATGGAACATTTAGCTTTAGTTATAAAATATGACGAACAATTCAGATATGTATTGGCATTGTTAGATACTTCTGTGGAAAAAGGTTAACTGTTTTTTACAATACAATTCAAAATAATTATATTTATTGAAATTATTCCAGCTTTTATAGTATTTCACAATTGTTTTATTTATGTCTTATATATTTTTTAGACTATAAAGACAAAATCGTCGCATTGGATTTATTTAGTAAGCAACTAAAAGATCATGGAAATGATCAAGAAAATATGAAAAAAAAAATGGAAGATATGAGAATTCAATGTGATAGATTAATGCACAAATTAAAAACTTCTAGCAAACTATTAGATGAAGCAAATAAAGAAAAGAGACATGTAGAATTTGAACGAGATGCTTTAGTAATGTTACTAATAAATGTATGATTAAAAAAATTGTAATGTTTTAATACAATTTCAGACTCGCCAACTTGGTGAATTGTACAAAGTATTTAACAAAGCTAATCCTAGTAACAATCCAAATGGATCAATAATGTTTGAGTATGATAAAATACGGTTTGATCAAATGCCACGACATGATACAACTGGTATGTTGTTGTTTTTTATTTTTATTATTATTCTATTGAGAGTTTAAATAGTCAATTTAGTATAATATTTAATATTTTATCAATCTAGCATAATAAAATATTATAAATAGGTAATCTTTAATTTATGAAAATACATTAAAACCATCCATACAGATGTAAAACCTAAAAGAATTTGTTTTATTATTTAGAATCTATATTGTCTGATATAAGTTATTCAAGGTCTGAAGATAGCTTAGATTCTGAAAACAATTTTGAAGAAGCTTTAAAACGAAGGGAACAAGAATTAGTTGGAACAGTTAAAAGAAAACGTCTTTCAGTGCAAGGAAACAATATGGGAGCACTTAAAGAAATTGAGGTTTTATTTGTTTAATATTAATTTATTTATAAAACTGGAAGTAAAAAATTATGACTAATTAATGATAATTTTTAAGAAATCAAATAATAATTGAATATTGATAAATGCCTTTTTTTCTTGTGTGGACATAATAATTAAGGACAATTTTGTCCAAAAGGTAATAAGACGTTCATATCCCTCCTTTAATTTTTTTCAATCATCTCTCATCTAAAATTAAAAATTTATAATTTATAATCATTTCATTAAAGCCATAAAGCTACTAAAAAACGTAAATAATTACAAAGAATTTAATATTAGACAGGCAATAGAAATTTAAAAAAAAAAAAGAATAGTAATTTAATTAATTGAGATTTAGGCTTAATACAAAATTTAGTATTAAACTTGCGTAAACTAGCAGATTGTGATAATCAACTAGATGATAAAATCACTATTGGTAATGTCTTTCGATCAGAGTTTCAGTATGTGTTTAGCACTGATGATAATAACATTGTTCCCAAAATATATATACTCAATTTTTTTGTTTTAAATTAAAATGTTAAGTCTACTTTTTATTTTTATAATGTTAGTCACAAATAATCAATTTTTAATATATTTCTTATCTGTAATATAAAGACGGAAAAATATATACTTATACCCCTAAAACTAAGTATTTATGTTTTAGAATAAGCTGAGGTTATCTTTTATAAGTTATAAATTATTTTCTACCAAACTTATATTTATTACAACAAACCCAAACTAATCCATAAAAAAATACTCACTCTGTACAAATAATAATATAAGTATTAAACTCAACATAAATAAAAAAATTGTAATTTAACACAAATAAATTTTTGTACTTCTTTGCTTACAGACTATTACTTCAATGTCTAACCAAGTTGTTGCTACTACAACAGTCACAATGAACCAACAGAATGGCAATATCAGTGCAAAATCGATAATAGAAAGTAAACCATCCAATACATTTCCCATACCTAGTGCACCTCCTATTTCTGGTAAAATTGTTCAATTTTTTATTAATCTTCAATAATTATTTTACTAAAGAATTTTATTAAATTGTTTAGATTCTTTGGATTCATTTGATTCAGAAGCATGTAGTGATGAAAACAATCAAAATGCTCCTAATACAATTCATTCTAGTTCTGCATTAAACAAATTAAATAACAGAGCACATAACTTCACTCAAAAAAATATTATCATTCCAGAAGTCTGTGGTCCATGTGGCAAAAAGTAAATCGTTTTTAAAAATAATTTGAATCTATTTTTTTCTAAATTTTTAATTTTATGATTTTCAGATTCTTTCTTTATTTTTTACCTATAACTTATTTTAATTATATTATTCACTAAAATATAATTTTCACATTAATGAACCATTTTCATACTATTTTAAAAAGTATTTATTAATTTCATTGTTCATAGAAATTCATATATTACTTTACTTATTAAACACCCTTGTATAAATATATATTTTAATGTGTCAATAACAATTTTAAAGATAAACTATTGAGTTACAAGCATAGAGATGGTATGTAATGTAAATGGGTACAGCTTGTACTGGTGTAAATTTATCATGTATATACCATGCGCATTACATACTCATTTTATGTAATTTAATAAGTATTTGTACTAAAAAATTGTTATAGACTATTAATTATTTTTGTAAAAAGTAGTGCTAAAGTCAGCATTTTTAATTTTTGAAAAAATTTAAGTTCATAATTAAAAACAAATTTTTTTCTTTTAAGTTAAAATAGAAAAAAACAATCTATGCGTTCTCAGGCAGAGATGTAACAAATATGATTTTAACATAGTCTACAGTGAAATGTTAATTGATCATAAGTTATTAGAGTTATTAGTTAGATCTGTTCAACCTGTATATCAGGGAGATGTATATATATATGTTATGGTCAAATTGGTAAATTGGGCATTGTTCACTATGCTGATCAATGTATTCAATACCTGAGTTTTTTAGATTATTATACACATGGCGGAGCATTGTTAACATTAACCAACTCCTATGTAGCCTTATAGGAAATTTAATTTATAAAGATTAGTGGTCAGAACCTACATAAAAAAATAATTATATGGTAAAAATACAATTCTTTTTTTAAATACTGCACTGCTTTGCAGTATTAAAAGCATGTCGAAGACTCGTTCAAAGATAAGTATACAGCACACACGCACAATAACAAGTCATAAGGACAACTTCATAAAATTTAACAATAACACAGATATTGTAAACCTTTAGATAGATGCAGTCTGAAATTCAAATTCAGTGGACATTGTTAACAATGCTCAATTTCCCACATTGATCATAACATATATAAAGGAAAGGATGTCCCACCATGACTTACTAATTTTAATATTAATTTATATAGTCAAATTAGTAAATCACAGTGGGACAATTATATATTAAAGTTTTTATATTAAGTTAACTTATACAGAATAAGAGATAAATAATTGGTTATATTAAATTTCATAGTATTTGATGTTTAATTATGTGTATTTATATCTTTATATAAAATCTCTTATTACAAGTTCTAAGTATGACTTTTATTTTTAGAGTTAAATTTAACAAAGTTGTAGTAAAATGTTTGGATTGTAAAGCTGTTGCTCATTTGGAACATAAAGATAAAATACCTTTACCTTGTATTCCTGTTAAAAATACTCCTAACAAAAATGGTGTAAGTATTTTACTCTATGAAAAATAACTATTAATTTAAATAGTTTTATATTAAAAAAAAAAGTAGAGTACAGTAGGGATTTAATAAAGTGTAGTTGAAACATTTTTTGGATTAGTATTGATTGAAATCGTAAAATACTTTGATGTGTATTAAAAAAATTTTAATATCTATCAAATATTACTTGTTCTTCAACTTAAGTGTTTGATAACTTATACAGTTAACAGAATGTTTTTATTTATTTAATCATATAATACAATAAACAAGCTCTAATTTGAAATAACTTTAAAATGATACAAATATTTTCTTATTATGTAAAGTATTACAAAATTGGCTAATTTTATCAAAAATTGTACGATTTTTTACTTTAATGCCCAATGACTATTAGATATTGAGATTTTGGATAGTTTTTTTATCATAAAGTACATTACATTAGCTTTAATTTTATGTACATTTAAAAAAGGTAGATATTTTGGAAAATTATCTAAAATTGAANTATATTAAAAAAATTTTAATATTTTCAATATTATCAATATTTTGGAAAATTATCTAAAATTGAAATGAAAAAAATTCTTGATATAATTTTTGAAACCCCTACAATTTTGATTAATAATTGTATTTTTTAAAAAAATTTGTCTGCAAGGACAATGTCTGAAGTATTATCAATAAGAATTTTTCAATAATTCATTCAGTAGTAAAAAAGTTATTTCTATATAATGTGAAAACTGAAAATATCAAGATTCACTGTTCAATGATAACTGTAATTTTTGGAACATTTCATTTTACTACTGGGTTTGAAAGAAATTTTTCAAAATTAAAGTGCTAGTGGCTTCAATGAAGTACGTTTTATGATTTTTTAATGTATTGTTGAGCAAAATTGGTCCGGTAGGAATTATTAATGGCGTATATGGACATAAAAAATTAATAACAATTTAAAATAAAACTTATAGTTAGCTTATAATTTTTTAAATATATTAGGGACGTATTGCTGATTATTCACCAATGGTTAATGGCCGTCCAATGGTACCTGCATTAGTAATACACTGTGTGAATGAAATAGAACAACGTGGATTTGATACTGTTGGTTTATACCGAGTGCCTGGTTCTGAAAAAGATGTCAAAGCATTAAAAGAAAAATTTCGTAAAGGAGTACCAAATTTGTCTGATATTGATATACATGTAATTTGTGGTTGTTTGAAAGATTTCTTAAGAACTTTGGATGATCCTTTGATACCTCATTATGACTGGAAAACATTTACTGATGCTGTTAGGAATTCAAAAGATGAAAATGAACACAGGTTATATCAAGCCATTTCACAATTACCTCAACCTAATCGTAATACACTGGCTTACCTTATGTTACATTTACAAAAGTAAAAAATAATACAACCAACATTTAGAAAATACTATTATATAACTGTTTAAACAAATTATTTCAATAGAGTTGCTGCTTCTCCAGATTGTAAAATGCCAATTGGTAATCTTGCCAGAATGTTTGGGCCAACCATTGTTGGTTATTCAAGTGAAAGCTCTGAAAATATGTATTTTGATTGTGAATTGAGCAATAGGGTAATTATAAATCTATTAATCCTTAGTAATAAAAATTATATTTTTTTACTATAAATTTTTTATATTAGGTTGTTGAAGAAATGTTAAAATTATCACCTGATTATTGGTCAAATTTTTTGAACAATTTAGTTCCTCGGCGTGTACAAAATAATCCTGTAAAGCGTACCCCATCTCGTCCATTACAACCTACTCATACTCCAATTTCTAGAAATAACCGTATTTTTGGTTCCAGGTGAATAATTTTTTTTATTTTACTGTGTTTAAATATTATTTGTTCAAGTTAGTTTAGAGTAGACTTATGATATATAAAAATTACAATTCTGTATAAGAAATCAGATTTCTTATCTAAATGAAGTTGATATTTAATCATCTAACTTATATTATATACTACATGCTACATACTTTGTATTGTTTTTAGTACAAAAAGAAGGTATTTAGAATCACCACGATCAGTAAAAGCTGCTAGGATTAAGCAACTTGAATCAAAGAAAAAGTAAAGTTCTTATTTTGTTGTGTAATATGTATATAGATAAATAAATTTGCATAAATAATTTAGTGTAAGAAATTTTAAAACATTAATCTTTTAATCTTTTGCAACTAAACTTAAACTTATTATAATTTTTTTTTTTTTACCAATGTACTTAAATTGAGTTTTAACTTAAGTTTAAATTCTTAATTTTTGTAATTCTTGATAAACTACGAACAAAATGTAGCTGTGGTATGATAAACATTTAATTTTATTATTGTGTAACATTGTTTTTCATGTTTTCTTATTGTGTACCATATGATCAAAGTAATTTTATTGTTAATTACAACATATCGAACAAACTTTTATTTTAGTATTAGACCATTTATTTTTATACAAATATTATATAGTTATAACTATAATTTTCTTAATAATTAGGTTAGTAGTAACATAATTTTAACTATTTAATTATACTTTGATAAATTATAACATTTANTAATTTTCTTAATAATTAGGTTAGTAGTAACATAATTTTAACTATTTAATTATACTTTGATAAATTATAACATTTATACACTGTTAATAGCTTTATAAATCTTTACATATAAAATATATATATAAAAAAAAAAATTACCACAAATTTTTTATTATACAAATGAATAATACAAGCTATACTAAAAAAAATTTGTGGAAAAGTATTATTAGTCTATATTTTACTATACTAATTATTGTCATATCTATTTTTATTATTATACTAGAAATTATGTAAAATACATAAAATTTTGTGTACTGCTATTTTGTAGTTTAATAAATGGCTAAAAACTAACTATATTGTATTTGTATTTTGCATTTTATAGTGTATTTTTGTGATAACTTAAATTATATCCTTTTTTTACTTGAAGCTTTCACTTAAAATTAATTATATTTTATATAAATATAAAAAACTTTATTGAATCATTCTTAACAAAATCACTAGGGTGGCTTTTTAAAAAAAAAAACAATTTTTTTTTTATGGCACACTAAATTTATTTTAATGATTATATAAATGAACTGTGCAACATTTTAGTATGATATAATAAAGTAAACAGATTCCCTCCTACTTTTGAACATTAGTCATTTTCAAAAAGTAAAAAGCTAAACTTTTTATTATAACTCTCTTCGTAGTCAACTTGCAGTGATTATGAATAACTAATTAATAGAAAATGTATAATAGGTACGACAAAAAAATATTAATCTATTTATGTACATATAAATTATTTGGGACAAAAAAGTTCAGTTATTTGTGGCCAACTGTGTCAAATACTAAACGAGAAGTTTAAAAATGGTTTACTATTTATTGTATAAATTAAATGTAACATTTTTAATTTTAGAAACAGGTTACAAAACCTAATAATGCTCAATAACTTCTAAATATCAAGATTTTCAGTTAGGTTTTCTTTGATCTTAAGTACATTGTATTAAGATTAGTTTAATACAGTTTTAAAGAATTCAGGTTTTTGAAACATATAGTTTTATAATTTTTTAAATTAGTAAGATTATTTAGAATTTAAGATGGGTGATCATTTAAATAATTTTACTAACTAGTCTTGTTTGCACACTAATATTCATGTACTTTTATTTATAAGCTAGAAGAAAGCCTTTGAATTTATTAAAATAGTTTTATTGCAATATTATTTACAATAATAATATAAATAATGTACCATTGCTAAGTACAAAGTGGATAACTAGTATAAAAATTACTACGTGGAAAGATAGAAATGGAAAATNAATAACTAGTATAAAAATTAATACGTGGAAAGATAGAAATGGAAAATAAAACAAATAAGATCTGAGTACATATAATTTGTTTGTATATTATTTATTTACATTATTTTTAATTAAGTCATTTAGTAAATATTAAAGTTCCATAAAGAGAAAATACATGTTTCTTAATAATATCAATTTAACATAAATAATAAAGATTATAATATTTAACACATTGCAATATTATAATGATTTTTTCATACATCCAAAATATTGTACCAAGACATTCCTAAAGCTAGATATATTATATATTATACATAGTGACATTTTATTATATACTCTAGATCATACACTTACACAAATTTTGACACATTTAAGTCATTTTTTTAATTAATTATTATTAAAAATAAGACAAAACTATTACTTTAAAAACAATCTAAAAATCAAAGCTGATTACAATATTAAATAATTTTACTGAAGACAAACAAGGCAAGAGTATATATATATATTATATATGATATTTAAACTCGATTTTTTTTAATTATTAAGCTGCTATTAAAAATAGAATATTTTAAATTTAAGAAGAATAAAATTGTACAAACAATACTTGCTTCTGTTTTCACACATTAACACAAATAATTATTTCTAATAAAGACAAATAGCTGAAAACGTAATTAAAAGTAATATTGCAATAACAATTATACACAGCCATTGTAAAACTTCAATTTTGAGTAGGACAAAAATGTATAGTTGTTAAACAATTATTTGTAAATACTTGGAATATAAAGAATTAAAATAATTAGTATTAACAATATTAATAGTGTAAAACATTTAAACCCTACTGTTACGTAATAAATCATATATTAATATACTTAAGTATTATCAATAAAAACTCTAAAATAGAATATATAATAAAAATAATTCATTAATCCAAAAAAATATATATATTTATATATCAATATATATTTTAAGTATAATATTAAGATTATTTTAAGTAATCCAGATTCAAGGACACTCATTGTAAATTGCTTATCATGTTTTATTAAACTTTTTTTTTTTAATAACAAGAGATTAATATCAAGTTAGCATTTTACTTTACTCTAAAACAATAATAAATTGCAATACTTAATTCTTAAGCACCTGCCCTAAAATTAATGTTACTTGATAATGAGATCGATAACAAACATTTTTTTTTAACTTTGGCTTTTTGTAAAAAGATTTAAATTCAAATTATGCTCTCTTATGTATAAAAAAGTTATACATAAATAATTATAAATATATTTGAATATAAATATTTATTTATATAATTTATGTATACTTAGAGATCAAAAAAAAAAAAATTCACATATTTAGTACATAATATAACAAGTCTATCAATTTTTGTTTTTGAACACATCTGAATTATTAATTTTTTTTTACAATAATAGACTTCTTTTAAAATAAAGAACTTTTTTAAATCTATTTTTCTGAAGTTGAGCTTCATCAATTGAACTTCTGTTCAAAAAAAATATATTGAAGATATGCTAATTAGTTTTTAAGATTGTCTCAGAGAGCATTTAAATAATAAATAACAATACTAAATAATTAAAAAATGATGTGAGATATTTTATCTGAATCCTTGTTTGGTAAGAAAAAAACTATATTTTTAATATATTATTATGTACTATAAAAATATTAAACAGCTATACATTTAATTATTATGGTAAAAAAAATTCGCTGTATTATTTTTGAACTATTAAATTGACTGATTTACATAATATTAATAAAAAAAAAATAAAATAAAAATTGTCACAAGTGCTATACCTAGTAATTGAAAAAATGAATAATAAAAATCATAATATAATAAAACAACAATAGTAAATACAAACTCAAAAGAGCCAATGGTAACTACTTACAATAAAATAACATTAAAACAATAAATAAATAAAAAATAATACAACCAAGTATTGTGTTAACATTACATTTGAGAGAAACAAAACATAATTGATGAAAGTGATATTAGAGGAAAAATGCTTGTTCTTGATAATAATATTTAATTAAAAATTATGTGCATTTTCAAAAATCTATAATCAATAAAGTATTTATAATAAATCTAAATATTACTATGATATATAGTTTAAAATTAATATTTTCTTTAAAAAAATTATTGCTTTAGCTTAGGACTTATTGTTTTTATTTCAAAATATTTATATATTTTTTAAAATATTTTTTAAGAAAACCTAATACTTTGCAATAAAATATTATATATATATATGCCAAAGGATTGTTCAATGAAAAATATTTTAACTGCAAAAAAAGTCAGATAAAAAATATTCCGACAAGCTAAATAAATATATCCTGAGGAACTATTTCCAAGTACTAAGGCATTAAACATTTACAAACCATTGTAATACAATTTTTAATTGTATGAATAACTATGCAAATAACTTAATATAGATAAAATCTTAAAATCTATACATAATATATGTATGTATACAACTTAGTAGTATAATATTCAAATTATATTAAATAAACTCTTTATAAATATATGTTTTAAATATTAACATAAATCAAAATTTGTCTTTAACTACATAAAATTGGGAGTACAAATTTTGTGAAAAATTTATTATAGAAAAAAATTAAACGCTGAAGTATTATGCGTTCATAAAAATAATAAGGAAAAAATATAATTTGGCAGTTAGCATGATGGTGATTTTAGCATAGTATTATGATTTCTATGCTAATTGTGCATTGTTTTCCATAGTACCCACAAATCTTGTGCATGCTTTCTTCCATTTACATTGGGTGCACCACATTTCTCTGTGTTCCATGCCATATACTTTACGACATTTTTTTGTTTCACCTCGGACTTTACGCATTGGACTACTAGGGAATCTCGGACCACCCAAATTCTGATACATCATCTTAATTTGTTTCTATTGACATTTAAGAAATTAATAATTTAGTGTTAAAATAGATGTGATTAAATTTATTTTTTTTTTTTTGGTTGTGAGATAATAATTAATTCCATACCTGTCCATTAAGAGATGCGAAAGGCCAATTTGGAGAGGAATTCGGTATAGTCATTGGGCCTGCTCCAGTGCGTGGTATAATTAAAGTTTTTTGGTACTCGGGATCTACAACATGAAAAAATATAGAATTTGAACCCCATTTGAATATAAAATAGTGGTTTACCTTCATGGGGTGGACGCGCCATATCACGGTGTGACAAAGTAGGAGGTGATGAAGCTGCGCCTAATTCAACTTCTGTGTAATAAAACTCTTCCTCGTGATCATCAATCGAATCATTCGTGGAATCATCTAAAGGAGATTTCTCGCGTCGAGGTCTAAAAAACAACAATAAAATATTTATAGAGTAACACTTTTTGTTATTATTGTATTTTAGAAGTCAAATACAGGAAATAATAATCAGTAAGGATAAGATACTAATTACTTAGAATTCAAATTAAAAATTATTGATTCATTAATGTGTTTAGGTTAAGACTTACCCTAAATGAGTTTGACGGACATGAGTTTCGATGGAAGCTACTGTTGTGGCTATAGTAACGCAACCACGCCATGTACATTGGAAAACTGTGCGACAATCCGTCTGTAAAATTCAAATAACAATTAAGTAAGTTGATTGTAAAATAACGCATCTAGAAATAATGGCCAGTATAATGTTAAAAAATCAAAGAATTGTTCAAAATTTAAGCCTTCTCCTTTTATTCTACTACTTGATCAATAGAAAATAAAACCTAACCCTATACTAACAATATAAGTTTATCTTTTGTTCTTTACAAACACCTAGATTATTTCACTGCTAATTTTTTATTCGACCAAGGGAGAACAGTAAAAAGGCAATTGACATGAAGTAACAGCGTATAACACAGACTAATCTTTAACCCAGTAAATAAAGATGGCCGTGACCGAATTTCGAGACCATAACGGGTGAGCTTTTAAAGCAATACCCTATTCGTATCAAAGATTCTAAGTATACTAACAAATATGCAAAAATGTTCCAAAATACGCTCCAATAGACATATTAATAAACATTCTTTTCCACATTGTATCACTGGATTTTGAAGATTTGAAGTTATTTGAAATAGAACAAAAAGATTTACAAACCGATTAGATTTTATAGAAATAAAATTTATCCATTTGAATAGTCATTATTTTTAAAACAAATTGTAGAGTAAAAAAATAAATAATAACAATTACAATCGTATTTAAACAAGAAATATTAAATATACACATTTATTTATAATAATACTCAAAACATTTTTTAAGACGAGGTCACATAACGCATAATTGTAAATTAAAACAACCCGGCAACTAAGAAAATTGTTATGATAATACAGTGTCAAATTGTAATATTATTTGTATTCCTTCCTCAGATCCTAAAAATATTGACATTGTAATTCGATGCCGTCATTGAAATGTATTCAACAAATAAAAATGTGATCGTGAAATATTTTTTCACATATCAGTACAACAATATTTCTTGGAATAATTTAATGAACTATACACCACCGGTCTTGAACTTGGATCGGAAAATAATTACATTTGAGGAAATATTCAGCGTCGAAGCTTTAAACGAGTTAAAAAAGGTCAACTCGAACCGAACGTTGAGTAAAGCCCTTGTCTATATAAATACATGGGGTACCGGCTTTTTTACCGGGTCACCTACTAACGACGAAGCATTGATATGTAATACTTCATAATCGCTTACTTGCATTTTACCGGCGCGTGGACTGTAAAATACTAAGAATAACGTGCATTGTGTTACCCAGTCGATATTATTCATTTATACGCATAATACTAATAATATGCGATGGTTTCCAATTAGACGACTATAAAAATAAATTCTACTTAGTGCACGTGCGTTATGAAATGTGCAATGATTAATACACCTTTGCCATTAAAATTATAATGCAGAATAACCACAGTTGCCAAGGACGAAATGGTTATAAAAAACATCTTTTATGAAAAGAAAAAATTCAAAATTATATTATCCATACACGTTATCATAATAATTCCAACACGAAAAATAATCCAATCACAGCGATGTATTAGCAAATATTCGTGTAGAGTAGTACGCTGGGCCAACAGCGACGGAGAATGCGAAAGGAAAGGGGGAAGCAAATGAGGCCGGTGCAGCACAGAGCTATTACATGAAAATAGGTCAATTCCAACAGGGGCCAATATGCGCATATTGGCAGCCAACTTTTTGTTCCATGCACATATGTTTGTCGAATATTTATCTCCTAATACATTTAACATTCATGTGCACACACCACAGTTTAATTATTGTACAAGCCTGTGCATGCATGTAAACCGGGAAGGGATCTAGCGAAACGGGGTCAGTAAGCATGGGCCACGAGGAAGGACCGTAAAAGCCGGCCGGTCGGATCGATGCGCTCACCGAGTTGCTGATGCGGATGCGGGCAGAGGAAGCGGTGATGCCCACGTGCGGTATATGCCGTGCGCGTGCACACACACCGTCAACTTCCCCTTCTCGTCCACGCGAGCAAACTTTAGTGCGCGCACCCAATTCTCGCGTTGTTCTTCCCCTCTCCTGCAGTCGCCATCACAACAAACACCGACGCTGCAACGAAAACCTCTCCTCCGTTGGAACATCACACGGCGGTATTATCGATCTCTTTGTGTACAACGCAGAAGACACGTAAACAAAGCGCTCTCTCCCCTTACAACGTAACCAGGTCAAACGTATAACCCAATTCCCCGATTTCTGGAAAAACATTACCATGGCGTTACGAGCGCAACTATTTTCCGGACTCTCAGAGCTTTTGTTTATACACATTTATACTCGGAACGCGAAAATAAAGCATTGTAATTCTTCAATTTCGGTTGCAATCGGTTAAATAAAATACAAAAAGCGTACACAAAATCATTACGAGTGTAAATGAGTGGATTGCTCAATTTCGAGCTGACCAAATAAGCCATAATAAAACAAAAAAATCATTATAAAACATCTGTCACTGGAATACGTTTAATTATTACAGATAAGTCGCTGCACAGAAAAAGGTGGTCGGGGTAGCCCCAACCGCATAACAATTAACATTCGCCTTGCAGTAGTTTTCGTACGTAGAAACTAAAACTGGGTCAGGTCGACCCGATTCCAGCAGTTGAGCTTTACGCACTCGCATACATGCGAACAGACCTAGTTTCGTATCACAAGCCTCGTCTCTCTTTTTTTTACTTCCCCTCTCAATTTTGGCGGTTGTATATACTGCGCAATGTCGTTTTTCTCCTCCTCTTCCTGTCATCACCCATCATATCCGCCACCGTTACAACCATAGCAGTATGTAGTCCCACACGCACTTAAAATACTATTAATTATAAAATGTGTGTTAAACGACAGTTGAAATTGCATAAAAGACCGACGACTTCATTACATCGATGCATTTCAAAAATACAATGATTATAATTTATTATTATACGCTCATATAGGTCACACAACCAAGTTACTAACATTAATAATACCCCATTATAAAGATTTTAATGGTTCAATCGAGGAGGTAAGCATTTACTTTTACTAAGAATAGTAATTGTAGTATTTAGCTAAAAGCGTTTAACTTCAGACCCACCTATTATCGAATTTCTTGTCAGCATAACAGAGTAATAAAAACTAATTTAAAATAGACGACATAGAGAGGCCTATCATCACAAAATAGTCAAACGACATAATCGATGGCAAAACCCAATTTGTGAACGTTTTAAACGAATAATTAACAGCGAACGTCGAGTTCGGCCAAAAATAATGATGTCATTAAATAATTTTGGCAAAAATTACAAGTAGAAGGTCGGATGTAAATTAAGACAAGGACTTAGCACAATTTTAAGAGGCTCTAAATTAATAAATAACTACAAATATGTCGTCCGTTGTCCCAAATATATAAATCAGAAATAAATGTAATTAGATAAATATAATCACATACAGTTATCGAAACTTCAATGGACATCGAACAAGTGAACCGTCAGAGAGAATGCAACCACATAAATCACAAAAAAAAAAACCACTATCGGTAACAAGGAATTTGGCCATTATATGTTCACCATTGTTTTATAACAGTTTTACCATGAATTCTTTATAACAGTTGTAAAATCAGAGTACAATACTACAGCGGGCGAAAGTAAATTTTATCTACAAAAAACACTTAAAGGAATGTATAAACCCGTCCACTCCCTAGTTAATGTTTGACCGAATTTTTACCGGATCACATACCACAGGCAACCAATAAGCATGCAGCTATACTGTGTGTATACATACACGTTCGAGTGTATTTTCCCTTTTCGTAGAAATATACTGCGGGCCCTGGTCACTCTATCTAACTGTTTTAAGTGTTTACACTGTTTTTCTATCGTGTGCAAGAGGAGAATGGCGGACTGCTGCACAATTCGCAAACGTCTATTATTTAAAATTGTTGTGCAACTTTCACTTTCGTTCCAAAAAGGTTACAGCAGCGGTGTGATAAACAAATAGGAATATTTCAGTTCAGGTAAATCGCTTTGAGTAGGTAACAGACGTCCAAATAATAACTATCCGATATTAAATACATATATCTATCACTATAAACAACACAGTATTGTGAAATTTATTGATATCAATGCGTACTTTATGTTAATTTTTGCAATGAATGCAAGCAACAGAACTAAAAATTTCACACAATTTTCCCTCTAGACAAGTCATGGCCAATGTTTTATTCCAAACGCGCATACGTAGTTATAAGCTGTACTGTGCCTACCGGTTTTCGACGTTTGTTCATCCAAAACTTATCCAACGAAGTATATTTTCGAATAACTACAATCAATTTACCAGACAAACAATTTCTAAATAATAAAAGTATCGACTATCGAAGATATTAAAATGCAATTAGTGTAGTTAAAAAAAAGACCGCCTCAAGTAACCACCAGTCGACGCATATTACAGATTCAATGCCTCCAATAATAGTGACGTATATTTAACGGAAGAAAGGTTAAGAACCTTAAATATATTTAGCGAGTAGTGTAGAGTAACATACTTTATGTAGTGTGTTGTAACAATGGTCACAACATATGACATAAGTCTAAATACATATTATTTTGTTAAAATATTTTTTAACATAGATTTCTGTGCACGGGGTCAAGGTTCATCGATTCAACGAAAACCGAAAATCGGTCAACGTTTTCACACGAACGTTTTTTCTAGATTACTAAATTCGTTGGGACAAAGGAACGACGCAAGCGACAATAGTAGAGATCCCTAAAACAATGACTATTGCCAACTGTCAAATAATAATAACAGAGGTGATAACTTAAACTCTGTATCGCAAAAATGTGTCAATTATCACTTGTCAGATGATTAAAACTACACAATCATAAGTTCATTAAAGTATTTCAAAGTTAAGTAAAATGTCCGACTGACATTTGAACAAATAATACAATACTTCAAAATGAAATATCACATTTGTGCATATATTATACCATTAAAGTTCAACCAAGAATGATCGGTAACGGTGATTTTACAAGACACAACAACACGTCGGTGTGCGGTTGGATGACATTGGCCCGAGGTCGTTACCCTTCGAAAACGTATACAATACAGTA